TGTGTAATTGAGGTTGAGGGAGAAAATACCAGAAAAAGACAGGGTTATGTAGGGGAGGAAAGAGAGAGTCAGTGAAGGCCGCGGGGCTGGGAGGCTGAACGTGGACCGGAATGAATGGGAAAACAAAGGCTTCTATAGTGGTCATGTGTATCTAATAAACAAAAGAAAATAAACATGGAAACAGAAAAATAGAGCAGCTCGGTCAGCCTCACATTTGGCTACCTAATATGATGCCTGTTTCCTAGATGAGGAAACTGAGGCTCAGAAACATGAAGCAGTTTGTCTCAGATCACAGAATCTTCTCGTTTTCCTGCCAGGTGCTGTCTCCGTGACAGCAGAGGCAGGAAAGCTGCCTTCTGGAGAGGCAGACCGTGCTGCTAATTCAGAGAAGTCACTTGGGTGCCGTGGTGGGGCCTCCCTGTTAATGAGCTGGTGCTGTAATCCTGAGGAGGAGGGCCGGTGGGATTCCAGGGCTGGGGGCAAAGCCTTTGTTTTCTCCTGTCCCCAGCTCACTTTCAGCGGGTCCCTCACCCTCTCTAGGTTTCGCTTCCCTGTTGGCACCATGAGGACCCTGGCTGGCGTTTGTCCACGGGACCACTGCTGGCATTTTAGATGAGACCATTTTTACCTTAGGAGGTTCTCCCCCGTGAAATGGCAGGAACACTCGCCTTCATGTGACAGCCAGACCACCCCCACCCACTTTCAAACATCCTGGTACTCACAGCACCCTGTGGTTGAGGACCACCTAGAAGGTTCTCAGACCTAAATCCCAGGGTACGCCCTGACCATGCTGGCCTATAGACTCACTGGCCTGGGGTAGAGGGTCCAGGAGGGAAGGCGGTTTGCCTTTAACTGGCCTGACATTATCTGGGAAAAGGCTCCTTTTACCTTGGATTCTTTTGGTCATCTGCAGTTAAGGGGACAGATGAGAGTTTCTGTTACATATCTCCATACAGTCTAAGTTCACGGCTCTGTGTGTGTGTGTGTGTGTGTGTGTGTGTGTGTGTGTGTGTATAATATATAACTTCTTACATTGTGTGATTTTTTTTTTGTTTATAAAAGTAATATGTGGGATTTATGTATAGGAAGATATGTACAATGATACCCATTGCAACAATATTTGTAACAGCAAGAAATGAGAAATGATCCAGCTAATTCCTGTAGAGTTATGGTACTATCCTACAATGAAGTCTTCTTCAGCTACTGAAAATTGTAGGAAATGTGTAATCTCTTGTAAAAATGTATGTACACACCGTGAAGGGACAAAACACAAGCTGCAAGATAGTAGGCTTCATCTGGTTTTATTTTTCAAAAGTATTTTTATTTACGCATATACTTCTTATTTATGTAAATAAACATGGAGCTGTGTGCAGCAAACACTTAAAGTGTTTATCCCTGCCAGGATTATGGAGACTTTCGAATCTGTAAATGTTTGGATTTTTGATAAGCAGCATTGCTTTGGTCATAAGAAAAACATATTTATAAACGAGTATATAGATTGATACAGTCTGGACAGTCTAGAATTCCAGACAGTCTGGAATAAGACCCACAAAGAAGGACGTGAAAGTCATTCCTGATGTTGCCACAATGCACCACCCTAGTCTTCCTTTCAGTATTTTTTCTGCGCACAGAATGGTAGAACCTGATAGTGGTAAAGAGCACAGACTTCGGGATGCCTTGGGTGGCCCAGTCGGTTAAGCATCCGACTTCAGCTCAGGTCATGATCTCACGGTTCGTGGGTTCGAGCCCCGCATCAGGCTCTGTGCTGCCAGCTCGGAGCCTGGAGCCTGCTTTGGATTCTGTGTCTCCCTCTCCCTGCCCCTTCCCCACTTGCACTCTGTCTCTGTCTCTCAAAAATAAACATTTAAAAAAAAAAAAAAAGCACAGACTTAGCATATGTCTGTCCTTAGAGCTGGGTAACCATCTGCAAGCTCCTCAGTTTTCTCATCTGTAGAGAAGGGGGATAATAATTTTCCCTGCTCCGAGGGTCCTGGCTATAAATGATCTGCACAGGGATATATATATGCGCATGATATGCAAAATGATTTGCAGAGGAAGATGTAAGTGATGTGCAGAAGTCTGCACAGTGCTGTGCACCTGGCAAGTTCTCAGTAAATATTAGTGTTTGTTACGACTGTTGGGCGTGTGCAGCGTGTCAGGTTTTTGCTAATCCCTGCAGTCAGTGTGCCCTCCGTCCAGTGTGCGCAGCTCACCCCCGGCGAGTGTGAAGTTCTCTCACCACATCCTGGCTCCCACTGGGTTTTACTCAAAAAGCAAAAACAAGAACCCACAAACCTAAAAGACTTCTGCTACGTGCATTTCAGCTTTTTAAGCCAGAAAAGCGGTGTCCTCTTTATCAGAAACATTTTATTTTATTTATTTTATTTTATTTTATTTTATTTTATTTTTTTTTCAACGTTTATTTATCTTTGGGACGGAGAGAGACAGAGCATGAACGGGGGAGGGGCAGAGAGAGAGGGAGACACAGAATCGGAAACAGGCTCCAGGCTCCAAGCCATCAGCCCAGAGCCTGACGCGGGGCTCGAACTCCCGGACCGCGAGATCGTGACCTGGCTGAAGTCGGACGCTTAACCGACTGCGCCACCCAGGCGCCCCTATCAGAAACATTTTAAAGAATAAAAGCATCTAAAGTTAAAAAATGTAAGACCCGGGGCACCTGGGTGGCTCAGTTGGTTAAGGGATCCAACTCTTGATTTCATCTCAGGTCATGGTCTCACGAACTGTAACAATGCGGAGCCTGCTTGGGATTCTTTATCTCCCTCGCTTTCTCTGCTCCTCTTCGGCTTGGGAGCACATGCGTTCTCTGTCTCTTTCTCTCAAAATAAATAAATAAACGTTAAAAAAAATGTTTAAAAGAAAAATGTAAGACCCCCTTGTGTGCTCTCCCCAAATCCTGCTTCTGAGGAGGTGGTTACCATTAGGTTTGATGTATAACCTCACAGACCCTGTTCTGAGTTTGTGGGTGTATGTGTGCACACAGTATGTGTATGTCTTTCTTTTAAAATACAACTGGAATTCTTGCATCAATCACCATCATGTTCAGGGCAACATGTTATGGATGAAGTCCCAAGTTAGTACATACAAATGCAATTTCCTTTTTTTTTTTTTTTTTAAATGTTTATTTATTTTTGAGAGAGAGAGAGAGAGAGAGAGACAGCATGAGCAGGGGAGGGGCAGAGAGAGAGGGAGACACAGAATCGGAAGCAGGCTCCAGGCTCTGAGCCATCAGCCCAGAGCCCGACGCGGGGCTCGAACTCACGGACCGCGAGATCGTGACCTGGCTGAAGTCAGATGCTCAACCGACTGTGCCACCCAGGCGCCCCATCCTTTTTTTTTTTTTTGATATATGTATTTTTTTAGGTGGGGGAGAGGGCCGGGGGGTGGGGGGAGAGAGACTATCAAGCAGGCTTACACTCAGTGTGGAGCCCCATGTGGGGCTCGATCTCATGACCCTGGGTTGGTGACCTGAGCCGAAAGCATGAGTTGGACGCTTGACTGAGCCACCCAGGTGCCCCTGCAACCTCATTTTTTTTTTAAGGGCTGCATACTAGTTCACGGCTGGGCCGCACCACAGTTTTTCTAACTCCTTTGCCAGCTCAGCTTTGACAACAACTGGGTGCTTTCCAATTTCTTACTCTTTCCAATAATGCTTCTGTAAGCTTCCATATATATTATAAACATGATTTGGGGGAATCTATTTCTAGAAAGAGAATCGCTGTGTCAAATATATTTCTTTCTTTTTTTTTTTTTTTTAACAATCTCTTTGGAGAAGCAACAAATATATTTCTTAAAACCCAGTTTTATTTATTTATTTGTTTGTTTTAGAGATTGAGAGAGCGAGCGAGCGAGCAGGGGAATGGGGCAGAGGAAGAGAGAGAGAATCTTAAGCAGGCTCCACCCTTAGCATGGAGCCTGATGCGGGGCTTGATGCTGCGACCCTGAGATCATGACCTGAGCTGAAATCAAGAGTCGGACACTTAACTGACTGAGCCACCCAGGCACCCCAAACCAGTTATTTTTTCCCAAACATAAGAGGCGGTCTAGCAAAGTCCGTCCGTTCATTGATTCAGCTGTACTTCCTGTGCCAGCTGTGCCCGCAGTGCAGCTCTGGATACAGCAGAAATGACCTCTTTCCTTATGGAGATGATAACTTATGAAACAGGCCCCACCTTCCTACCTGCTGCCCTTGCTTCTGATCCTTGTGAAACAGGAGAAGGACAGAGGAGTGTTTGCATTAGAAGAGACTGCATGGGGAAAAGCCCCTTTGAGCTGTCGGAGGCAGCCCCCCACCTGTCAGGGGACGCCTCCTGTAAACACCATTCAGGCAGCCTGAAGTCCCAGGGCTGCCGGGAGGGGCCGCCCCACCCTCCTGGGTGGGCCCCGTCGTGGGGGGCAGACGTGGGGCAGAAGCGGAAGTAGCCGCCATCCAAGAGGCTGGCTGGCTCATGCCTAAGGGAGGGCCTTGGAGACCAGCTGTGTGTCGTTGCAAAACTGTGGTGGTTTCTGCTTTTCCTCTTTCTTCTCAGGTGGGGAATGGAGACCCTGGTGGGGGAGTGGCTCCTGCCTCCAGCTCCAGGGAGCCTCACGCTGGGTCTGAGAGGCAGACACTGCTCCCAAAAGATTTCCTAGGAAATCTGTGCTGCCCATTGTTGGTGTTTGCAGGGGCCCCGTAGGGAGGAGGTAAGGCAGGCCCCCCCCCCCGTTCTTACCCAGGAGCCCGGAGCGGTGGCGACTTGTCCTGGCCTCCCAGGTAGTCCTCAGCAGAGCCAGGTTCTCCTGTGGGTTTCCTGGTTTTGAACCTCACTCTGCCACAGCCGTTGGTCCCTCTGGGCCTGTCATCAGCTGACGGAGCACCTGCCATCTACTTAGCCTTGACCGGGCTCAGAGACCAGCTTTCCTGACCATTCGCAGGACCCTCAGCCAGGCTCCAGTCTAAGATTCTTGAGTCTGCTGGCTCACGTGCCCCGTGGACAGGGCATTTACACAGCGCTGGGCTTGGAGCTGAGTGCCTCATGTGTGTCATTGAATCCTCGTGGCAACCCTACAGAGTAGTTCTACGGAATCACCACCCCTGTATCACAGACAGGGAAACTGAGGGTCAGAGGTGTACTAACTGTCCTGACCCCTGCCTGTCTCCTGCCTTCTCTGCTGCCACCTCCTCTCCCTCTAGCCACTCTGCCTTGCCCCTTCCAGGCCCTTCAGCCCATTTGTCATCCCTGTCTGTAAATCTCTTCCCTGAGATCTTGACTTCCTGTCTAAAAGAACCGTCCGTCCGCCTCTCACCTGCCGTGGGGCTTGTGGAGGGCCTGTTTTTACTGCTAGAGTAGCAAGCCACACCAGGGTGAAGATTTTGGTTCACTCCTGCACCTAGAACGTAATAGATGTTCAATTAATATGTGTTGAATGAATGGATGCCTGGCACATAATAGATGTTCAGTTAATATTCACTCCTTCCTTCCCTGTTTGTGCTCTCTCCCGCTCACTGTCTGTCTGTCTGTCTGTCTCTCTCTCACTTCTCTGACCGTTATCTTTCCACCCTTTACACAGTTAGGAATATGTACTTACTGGTGTTTGTCCGGTTGTCCTCTCCTTCCACCACTAAACTTTGAGCTGCTGAGGGCAAGGACTTAGTTTGCTCCTGGCTGATGCCTGCCTCCAGATGGCACCCTGATGAATAGGTGAATGAACCAATGAAAAAGAAGAGCCCAGGGGCACCTGGGTGGCTCCGTCGGTTAAGCGTCTGACTTCAGCTCAGGTCATGATCTCGCAGTTCGTGAGTTCGAGCCCTGCGTTGGCCTCTGTGCTGACAGCCCAGAGCCTGGAACTTGCTTCAGATTCTGTGTCTGCCTCTCTCTCTACCCCACCCCTGCTCATGCTCTGTCTCTCAACAATAAATAAATGTTAAAAAAAAAAAAAAAGAAGAGCTGAGACTGGAACCAGCTCTCTGGTATTCAGGCCTATGCTCTTAGCATTATGCTCCTTCCTGGTTTGAAATTGTGGGTCTGATTCAAGCTCTCCAGGACAGCAGTTGTTATGTGACTGTGGTTCGGGCCAGCTCATTTCAAGACCTAGACAGGCTTCTGGGGCGGCTGGCAGTTGTAACAGCTTTGCAACTTGTCTTGCTTTGAATTAAGCAGCAGCAGTCTGCTCAAGGTGTTGCTTCCTCTTGAATTTATTTTTTAATCAAGATGAAACTTACCTGTTTTTTCTGCCATACAAAAGTTTATGTTAACTTACTAGTTGGAATGCTTTAAAAAAAGTCTCTTTTTAAGATTTTATTTTATTAAAAATTTTTTGTTTACTTTTTATTTTTGAGAGAGAGGGAGAGAGAGAGCGTGCACACGTGCAGAGTGCAAGCGGGGAGGGGCAGAGAGAGAGAGAGACATAGAATCCGAAGCAGGCTCCAGTCAGCACAGAGCCTGACGTGGGGCTCAAACCCACCAACCGTGAGATCATGACCTGTGCCGAAGTTGGACGCTTAAACCGACTGAGCCACCCAGGCACCCCCAAAAAGATTTTTTTACGTAGTCCCTATGCCCAACATGGGGCTTGAACTCCCAACCCCGAGATCAAGAGTCACATGCTCCAACTGAGCATGTGGCATTGGACTCTTCTCTTAATATTAGGCTTGTGAAGGAAGACTGGCTGGTGCTGTTGGATGGCTTAAAGATACATTTAATTTTTGTTAGTCCTGAAAGTCTTGTATGTTCATCATGGGAAACCTGAAGAATTCAGAAAAGTAGAAGAAACCTAGCCTGGTCTCATGATCCACACACAACCATTTTAGCCAGTTGGTGTATTTCCTCCAAGTCCGTTCATGTATATTTTGCCCTTTTTTTGTGGGGGAAGGGACCATCGCGCCAACCACACACTGTTCAGCTGTGCGTCCTCCCCTTTCCTGCTGCACCTTCTATGTCTATAAATACAATATCTTAATATGGTGTTAAATATTGACATATTTAAATACATGTTAAATAATATCAAATGTTAAATACATACTAAACATTTAATATTGATATGTATTCGTACGTGTAATTCAGTGTTAAAATACTGAATAAAAATACTTCAAAACTAATTTTAATGCCTATAAAATACTCCATCATATGCTAGTACATCACACTTTACTTTTCTTTTTTGAGAGAGAGAGAGAGCAGAGGAGGGACAGAGGCAGAGGGAGAGAGAGTCTTTTTTTTTTTTTTTTTTAATTTTTTAACGTTTATTCATTTTTGAGACAGAGAGAGACAGAGCATGAACAGGGGAGGGGCAGAGAGAGAGGGAGACACAGAATCCGAAACAGGCTCCAGGCTCCGAGCAGTCAGCACAGAGCCCGACGCAGGGCTCGAACCCACAGACCATGAGATCATGACCTGAGCCAAAGTCGGACGCCCAACCGACCAAGCCACCCAGGCGCCCCGAGAGAGTCTTAAGCAGGGTCCGCAGTGCTGTCGGCACAGAGCCTGATGCGGGGCTCCGTTTCATGAACGTGAAATCATGACCTGAGCTGAAATCAAGAGTCGATGCTTAATTGACTGAGCCACCCAGATGCCCCATCACACTTTCCTTAATCTGCTCAGTTGTTTACCCTTTACCTTATCTTTCTTACCTCTCTCTCAGTTTCTTTGTGTGTGTGTGTGTGTGTGTGTGTGTGTGTGTGTGTGTGTGTGTGT